TGATAAATAAGGTTTTACACAAATACACGACAATACATTCATGTTGTTACATAGTTGATTAAGCCTTTCCAGAGTCATTATTGACATTGTTTTACATTGTTCATCCTTTGCCATTCCGACCCTCTTAATGTTATTGATTTAGTGTCAGTGGTAGTGGTAATAATAATAAGTACATATAAACAAATTTTATTACTCAATAAACAATATAGAACAAAAAAATACAAGGTCATTCAGTAAAATACCAACTATTAAAATATCAACTTGCCTGCACTTTTGACCCCAATATGAAAAATGATTCATTTTTGGAGCGAAATGATTCAATGTTGAGTGGAATGCTTCTAATTTCGATGTTTGAAATGTTTCACTCATAAGTTTCACATCTTGGCACAGCCTGGGGTTTAATATTATAGGCAAGAGGACCTGAGTGGCCTTGCTTCCTGAAATAGAATTGATCAAATAATGTTACAGTAAACAATAATACAGTATATGCCTTAGTAATAATAATATACAGTTGTAAGTATTTACCTGGCACCATCCATTTCTTTTTACGTTCTCGGCCAACCAGCGGACCATGGAGACACTCCGGAAATAGGTCGTCATGTCCAGAATGAATATTTTGTATGTGGCTTGCTATTGATTTCCACTTTGCAACTTTTAATTCGGCATTCCCATAAGGTGTGGATATAGCACACCAGTACAAGTGGTTGGTAATGCTTTGTATCCAAGGCTTAATTGATGCGCAATTGGAAAGATTAGCAGCTGCCTTCAATTTCTTGTTTAAGCCTTTTTGTAAGATAAAATGATGGTTTAGATTAGTCTATATGTCAATTCATTTTTTTTTGTTATAGACTTGCTTATAGACATTTTTAAAATGCCAAATTTGAAATAATAAATAATTTCTACATACTTTTGCTGATGTGCCAAATATCATATTTGTGGTGAACATCTGCAAGGTTGTCTTTCATCCACTTCCGTATTTGGGAGTGGCGGTCAGTCACCAGAGTATTGATGGAAACACCACTCTCTCTTAGGGACGCAATGCTTCTTACCAGCCCTTCCTTTTCCATTGCACTGCTAGAAGTAACTTCATTAGACTGCAAACAAATACAGTAATACTGTAGTATTATTCTTTTATGTGTTTGCTTTAAAAACATACAAAAAATAGTGTGTTTAAATTCACATGCAAATTTATAATATAAAATGTAAAAATTTACAATATAAGTAAAATTGATTAATAAAGTATATAAATAGACAGGTGAACAGAAAATGCTCCTTTAAAAAGTTTCTTCTGAAACAATATATTTAATAACTGTTTTACCTGTACTAGCTGGACATCGACAATCTTGCCTGTTTTCAAATTCATCATCGTATAGGCACCATACTTGGAAGAGTGTCCAAGTGAGTCTGCCCTTCCATCCCCTCCTAAAACTACTTCTTCATCAGCAGCAAGGGCTTCCAACCTT